CTTTGTAGCAAAAAGTGTCAGACTTGTATTTCTGAGGCCCTGGGTTCTAGTCTTGGCGAGGACATCAGCTATTTCGAAGTCTCTTCAGATAAAGCCAGGATATAGCTCCTTGATTTCGCCGCCGCCACTTCCTTTCTAATCCTTTGAAATGCATTATTCAACAAAATAATTTTTCGTTATAATGTAACTGTCTTGAAGCAAAGGACACAAAAGCAAACTTCTCACCCTCTATAGTTCCATTAGAACAATAATAGTCCGCGTAGAGCAAGCCCTGTAAGTCATGAAACTGCATAAGCCCGTTGCGTTCTCTGTCTTGGGGTCCAAATGCTATCCTAAGGGCACAGCACTCAGACGAAAGTTTCGCATCTATAGAACAGCATCAGAAGTTTCGTATTTCAGTAGTTTTATTGTGGTTCAAATAGTAAACAGGATAATAAGAGGACTATTATCATCTGGGATATAACGTCGTATTTTTTTCCTGTGGCGCTACAGCCCCAATTTGGGCCTAGGCCTACCTCCATGAAACTCTCCGTTTCGCTTCGGTTTACTAGATCTTACACATACTGTAGGGCTCCTTGGGCGAGTGATCAGCTCGCCGCAAGGCCTCTACCTGTACACAAACACAGAAAAACGCACACAAACATCCATGCCCTCAGTGGGATTCGAACCCACGATCCCGGCTTCCGAGCGAGCGAAGACAGTGCATGCCTTAGACCGCTCGGCCACCGTGACCGGCATAACGTCGTATAGTCCTTTAGAAGTCAGTTGAAGTTTCGGAGGAACATATCGCCTACATCTTCATGGTCGAAAAATAAACCGAGCAGTGTATTAGCGTGAAACAAGGTGGCAAAGCGACATGTTCCTCCGAAACGTCGGCCGAATAACAGCAGACTAAATGTCGTTATATCCCAGAAGATAGTACTGTTCATAACCACCGCTGTGACAACCTCAAATCATACGGGATTTTAAGAGACTCTGAATTAAGCGGCATTAAGCAGAATCTGCTCTTAACTCATTGACTGAAACGGAAAATGTCATTTGTACGGACCAGGTACAGATTCGGGTTTAAATCCGGTGAAGTGACGTCCTGACATGAATACAGCGTTATCCCTGCTTCATATTGTCATCTTGCTCAAGACATGCTCTGACCCTATGTGTCTGCTGTCTTTGTGCAGTACTGTACAGACATTTGTATGGAGATCAGATAAAACAGACCCCGAACAATCAATTCATAATTCATTTATCAGTAATTTTAAATATTGTCCTGTCACGGAAAGAGAACAGCGTTCCATAGTGAAGAGATGTTCATTTGGAGAGATTATATCTGTTGAGTGTCGTGACATGGTTGTAACTGTAGATTTCAACTTCGGTTTGAGGTCATAATGAGGGAAAGGTCACTGTGCTTGTAGCACTACCGTTGTGCGTTTGTTGCCCCTTCATAACTTTACTGTCGGATTGCCTGTTAGCTTCACATGGTTCCTTTGAACAGTCTGTTTTCCCTGAAGTATTGTCATTTTGTTATAACTTCATACTTTGTTACTGTCACATATGTCAATATAACTCAGATCAGCTGACACACTGCTTGCCTCGGCACATATGGTAAAATCACGTCTTGTCAGCGGCAAAACCAATGCCAGAATACTTAGAGTATTAGTAACTCAACGTCACCATGAAATATTCATTGTGAGATCGAGAAACAGTTAAGAATGGAATGCATATTGGAAAATAAAGTTTTGTCATTACTTTTTTATTCTGAATAAAAATGGCAGGTCTCAATCCCATAATATCTTGATCCACAATCGAGGATACGTGCATCTCTTTCTCTTCTCTTCTGTGTATTACAATTATTTATATTATAATTTACGATATAGGCTGTTATTAGTTTGCGTTCCCCAATAGTCATATAGGCTGCGGCATTGACTTTTATCAAGTTTAGTTTTGGAGCTTCAGGTCTGTCTCCCGTTATGTTATTGCAGTCTCTCTGCATCTGTAAGCCGATCACAGTGACCGAGTGATCTAAGGAATGAAATGTCTTCGCCCTCTCGAACACTGGAATCGTGGGTTCGAATCCCACTTAAGGCATGGATGTTTGCTTTTATTCTGTGTTTGTGTTGTTCTGTATGTAGGTAGCGGCCTTGAGACGGGCTGGTTCCCCGTCCAGAGAGTCCTAACTGATGTGAAACGAAGCGTTTCGCGGATGCCTTATGCTCCAAGTGGGAGCAACAAGAACAGACAGACAGACAGATGCGTCTGTAACAAAGAAGCCCATAACCGAAACAAATTTTTGGAGGTGTATTGTAATTTCTGACAGGGCCGGCGCTGTTAATACCGAGAAGAACCGCCGCTTACAGTTCGCAACCGATCAACTTTGTCAAAACTTCGTCACACTACATGAACAAAGTTCCCAGACAGTGACATGAAAATCATCATTGGTTTTGTAACCCTTAAGAGCGGGTTTATTTACCTTGCTGAATAAGACGTTTACATGAATACCAGTTAAACACAACGATATGAACAAAACAGCAATACATATTTTAATTTATCAAAAATCCACCAAGGGGGTTGTCAAATTTGCCGCCTCATGGCGGTTCGCCTGTACTGCGCTGTCCCTGGTTTTTGAATGCCAAGAGATTTCTATTATTTATAACAACTACAATAAATTGAATAGCTGTGAACTCACGTGAGTTTCCAACGGGTTTCCTCTTCGTCGCTTCTAATGAATCAGTATCAGAGGATGTTGCATAGTTCGGGACTTCAACCCTGAACGTTTATTGGTTTAGGTCTTAGAACAATTTCCATTCATGTTCTTAATTTGTGATACCTCGACATTTAAAGACATTACACGCAAATCTGTTATTACGAACAAACAATATGTAATTACCTGTAATGTAACGGTAGAAATTTAAATCCCGTTTATGCAATATACAAATTATTGTCGAGTTTTCCATGGCCTATAATTTTCAAACCGGAAACAACAAAATAAAACTGCTTAGGGAACACAGAAGTGTAACTAAAAAAAAAATCGGTAAAGCTGTACGTGCCACATTGATGACTGGGAGAAAACATGACGTCATGTCCGAAAATGGCGACCGTTTAAGAGAAAGCAGTGCGCGTACTTTGGTTTTGCGGAACGAGGTCCGTTATCAAAATGCAGCGTCGTTACAGAACTCAATATGGAAAAGATCCACCTTCAGATAATGCTATCTGACGTTGGTTAGAGCAATTTCAAGAGGCCGGTAGTGTTCTGCATCGAGAAGGAGCTGGAAGACCGAGCGCTTCGCAGGAAGATGTTCGAATCCAGGAAACGTTTCTCGAAGCCCACAAACTAGACAACTAGACGAGCTTCTTTGCAGTTAGGTATACCACAAACGACTGTTTAGAGGGTTCTTCATTCTACAGATGATGAAAATTTTTGGATTACACTTTAATATTCCCTAAACAGTTTCATTTTGTTATTTCCGGCTTCAAAATTATAGGACACAGAAACCCCGACAATAATTTAGAATCACCTTACATATTCCGGTTTACACGGCGTATGTACAGTATGTATGTCATGTATCATCATAGCACATACAGTGTTTGGAAGGTTTCAGAGTCGTCTTTACGACGTGAAATTTTGGACTGGTACGTTGGAACTTTCCTTTTTGTCATGCTTTCACTTGTTATAATTGCACTTCATGACGAGCGAGAATTATTCATATTTAAATTTACAGCATTATTGTTAGCCTACAAAAATTGCTGGAATATCATGACCAAAATAGGAATTTGTTTAATGGAAAATGGTAGAAATTGTCGTGTATTAATGCGTTATGACAACTGAATCCTAAAAGATATACGGTGCAACGTAAAGGCCGAGCCGGTGAGGCATTCTCGCTTACAAAAATGAAGTATGCTCTTGTGATGCTAATGCCTTCCTTTTCCTACGGGCATTCTAGTCCATTTGTCGACAGTCGATGTCGCTTCGGAATATTAATCAATTGTCTCAGGTAAATACCGAAATAAAGCCGGAAGTAAGCTGTGCTTGAATTGAATTATTTGATTTCAACGCACTGGAACGCATCCAGCAGAAGTGTTCAGCTCTATGTTTTAATCATCTCTTTCGACATGTTCATTACAGCTATGCTGTGCTTTAGCGCAGTTAAAGTTTCACGGCTTACGTAGCAGGCGATATCACCTTGGTGTGGTCTCCCTTATTCAAGTTTACCTTGGTTTTCAGTTCTGTCCTCTGTACAAAAATGTTGCTCTCCGAGCTCCTGATCGGTATATCAGAGACTTTTCGATGTCTGCTATTCCAGTAAAAGTTGTCCTGCTAGATACACTTCAGACATTAATGTTGTTTCTTTCGGCGCTGACGTGCTTGGAACGAAAATTATTTCCCGTAGTTATATTTTATACTAGTACTTTCTAAAGTGTTAAAATATTTATATTACTCAGTATGAACATATATATATATATATATTCATACACACACACACACACACACACACCGTATATACGTGTATATTCCCCAGCGCTTAATGGTTAGCATGAATTTTTTGTTGCTGTCCAAATGATAAAAGTTGCCTTGTTTTCTATTTTGTCTGTGCATTTCTTTTTCGGTCGATCACAGTGGCCGCGCCGTCTAAGACATGAACCCTCTTCGCTCCCTCGAATGCTAGGATCGTGGGTTCGAATCCCACTCAAGGCATAGATGTCTGTGCTGTTTTATTCTGTGATTTTGTGGTCATATGTAGGTATCGGCACTGCGACGGGCTGATCCCCCGTCCAAGGAGTTCTACCGGCTGTGTATAAGATTAAGAAACTAAAAAAGCGGCCAACGTCCAAAGGGCTGTAGGACCATAGAGAAAGAGAAATATGAAATGTCTTTTTCTCGTTTGATTCCTTCCTTTTCGCGTGCTCACTTTATAATTCACCTTGCGGCGAATTTACGTAAGCACGTAAATAAGTAAAGAAATGTATTATTATTATTATTATTATTGTCATCGTTCATTTTGTTCCAGGTGAGTGTGCAGTGTTACTTATTGGCACGTGCAGCGTAAGCAACGCAGATATGCAACAATAACAAACGTGTAAGTGCAAATGAAATTGTTTTGTCACTTCTGTGCAACTCTGTATCCTCTCCAATGACTGTGATAATTGTAATAATGATTTGTTTGATATCATTATCCCTCTAAAGCGATGGTGACATTAATTATTAACTCGCGTTTTATTTTATCGTATTTAATCTCGCAGTGTTATAATACAGGAGTGCCCGAGGGTGCACAGTACTGCGAATCTGCATTCAGTAGTCAGTATAAAGATAAACAAAAAGTTAGTGATTTCCTTTTGGCAGATGTTGACGATCTTGCTGCTTTATAAATACCTCCATTCCTCTTCCTTTGTTTATGAGAAAGTTTCTTTTGTTGTTTCATTCGATTTTGATTTATGTTTCTTGTTACGTTTAAATTGTGAGTCAGTATTTTTAGGTACTGCGATTGATAGTGGAAAACATTGCAGCTGTGTTTTTTGTGGGACTTGCATTCTAGTTTATGTCTACTTAAATTCAAGTGGGTGCAGATATTAAAGCCCTGCCATTTGTTTTAATTAGAATTAAAGTTAATCACTCTCCGATTAAGAAACTGTAGTTGATGCTGCATTAAAGGGGGAAGCTAGCGTTCTCAGTATTCAGTGGTATACAGTTCTGCATTCAGCATGTTAACGGCACCACGAAACTTTAAATGTAATCAGACCATCGTTATCAGGATATCTGAAATTCGAGCTGAAATCGTAATTGAACTTGATAGTCTAAACCTGCTTCCTATTTTGAGGCTTGCATGCTGGTTCAGTGTTGATTCCATGTCTGCTGTTGAGCCATTGCAGGGTCTATATGTGGGCAGAGGTGTAGATGTGCATCAAGTACTTCCGAAACGTCGGCAACGATGCTCACATCCATATATGCAGATACCTAAGAGCAGAGTCAACAGTAATCAAGATAAACTTAATAAAGAACGAACATTAACATACAAGGATTAGAGACCGTACCGATCCTAACACGATCTGTTTACAATCCTGAGCTACTTACACGCGTCATATCTTTACAACTCTTGCTTCCACTTTGGAGTACAGGGCTGATTTTTCAGTTTCTTGATCATTTCACAGACGGTAGGACTCCACGGACGAGTGATCAGCCCGTCGCAAGGCCTCTACCTAAACGCAGACAGCACAAACGCAGAATAAACGCACACACACACGCACACCAAACATCCATGATTTGTGTGGGATTCCTAGCGCGCGAAGACAGTACATGCCTTAGACCACTCGGCTACCGTGACCGGCCTGCTTACAACTTTTCTTTTCTCCTTGGCACTATAGCCCCAGTGGGCTTAGGCCTGCCTCCATGAACTTCTTCGTTCACTTCGGTTTTTCTAGATCTTACACATTCGGTAGGACTCCTTGGGCGGGTGATCAGCTCGTCGCAAGTCCTCTACCTGTACACAAACACAGAAAAACGCAAACAACCATCCATGCCCTGAGTGAGATTCGAACCCACGATCCCGGCTTCCGAGCGAGCGAAGACAGTGCATGCCTTAGACCGCTCGGCTACCTTGACCGGTTTGCTTACAACTTACGTTACTGATATTCATATTAATGTTTTCCTACCACCTCCATCTCGATCTTTCAAGTGAACGTTTTCTAAAAGTTTTTCCATCAATATTCTGTCTATATTTCGTGTCCACATCCAAGTCCATTCTAACCTCCAGATCTCACTATCCAAAAGAACATTATGTCATCTGTAAAACAAAAAGCTGTTCCAGAACAGTAAATCAAACTGTGGGTGGTGTACAGGTAGGATCTCGTCTTCTAGTCAGCTTATCATAAGCTCAGAATAATACAGTTCACTACTGAATATGTTCGGATGTGCGGTAGCGTCGTAATTGGTTGAGGCACTATGCTACAAGCCGGAAGATCGCGGGTCCGATTCCCGATGAGGTCACTGGATTTTTCAGTTGACCCAATCCTTCCAGCCGCACTATGGCCCTGGGGCCGACACAGCCTCTAACAGAAATGAGTACCAGGTACCTTTCTGGGGGTAAAGGGCGGCCGGCGCCTGTACCTGACATCCTCACCTCCATCTGTGAGCCGATTGTCTACAAGACGGGACCCTCGACGTTTCACAGTCCTATGGGCCACCACGGCCTGTTACATGGCCTGGGGGAAGTATTTTCTGACGAAGCAGCATCTCATATGTCAGGCAATGGAAATAGGCATCTGCTGAGTTTGGAAATATAGTCCATCCAGAACATGCAAGAGATAGGTATCTTGAGGTGCTATAAAATTATGCTTTTCCACAGGTAACGTCATCATTGTGCAACATGGCTTACGATTTTTTCAGTCCAGTTTCTGAATAAGTGGGATAGGACCTAGCGGAGGCCCGATTTCGTGGTCCCGTCGTTCACTGATTTCAGGCTGTCATTAGTATCGTCATTTCGTTGGTTATGTAAAGGGCTGATTTTGCTGAAGCGTGACGTCACCAAAACAGTTAAAAGGGAGAATACCGGAGCAATAGGTACAGCTCAAGGAAGGCGCACTCAGTTACAGGTTGGATAAATCTAGCTACAGACGGAGAAAATATGGAAATGGCACGCCCCTCTCCAAAATAATCTCTTATTTGCGAGACATAGGTTGTTATATTATTGCATCTCTTCCCATTCGAAAGCTTTTAATATAAAAATTTCAATTCCGGAAGTTTTGTGTAAAAATTTAAGAAGTTTCGCCGAATGTTGCACTTCCTGAAAAAGGCATAGGTTTCGAAAACGGGATCTGAAAGTCAGATAATAGGTTTTGCAGTTATATTAATTACCGGTGACCTTTCTACTCGTCCTAAAGTCCATCGGGAATAAATATGGCTTGTCATGCTATGTTAGGTGCTCAAATAATTGTACAAAGGGACCTTCTGTCAGATGTGTGGACACCACGATCAGACGTAATATGATAGTCCTGAAAAGTATAACAAAAGAAATTGGGCTTTGTGTGTTGCGGTATGTCTGAATGGAATGCTCTCCCTGAAGGGGCCGTATGCTTAAGGATTGGTTCACCCGAGACCAAGCAGAGGAATAATTAAATTTGTATTATTATTCTGTACAGCAGAGATATGCCTGGAATGAGAACATACTATTTATCGAAATGCAGCACTAATTGAACTTTTTGTTTCGACATTGCTCGTTCAAAGGAACGTGCCGCTGGCGAATGCTATTTCCCATGAAGACGTAGACCCACGTTTTCTTCACCTCGACACTAGTTGGAGGTGAGTGGTCAGCTTCACGCCCCGGCCGTTTTACCCCCGGGGCCAGAGCTTCCGGTACCAATTGGGTAGGCTGTGTGGGCCCCAGAGCCGGTCTGGACGACATGGAGAAATGAAAATTACTGCTCCGACCCCTTAGTCGTCCAGCCCGTAGCCAGTCGCTATACCGACTGAGCTACCCCGGCTCCTACTGTATATGGGTAAAAGCTAAAGCTATCCCTGTAACAGGCCATGAAGGCCTATAGGGTTGTGAGACGTCGAGGCTCCCACATGGCGGCAAGTTTGTCAGCCTTACACGCCGGCCGCCCTTTACCCTCCAGGAAGATTCCTGTATATGGGACATACTTTAAATAAAATGGTCATTTCAGTTGTACCATCATAGTGATCGTAGCAACATCGCTTAATACAAAAGCTTACAAAAGTAACTGGAAGCCACTGCCTGCTATTTCATAGGAGGAGTGTGCTTGAAACATTACCTTGAGACCAGTTGATGTCATTTTGTTTTGGAACGAAATAAGAGTTTGTAGCATCCTATACTTTGCTTTTGCCTTTCTCTAGTGACCTACATGATCAAAGTGGCAAGGGACCGCATCGAGTGTGTCGTTTCTTTATTCTCTTATTTCTTATTATTTTTTAATGTAACGGTTCAGCCAGTTTTCTAATAGTGTGATGCGTTGAAGGAGACATTTACCTTTAACATCAGCATTACTTCTTAGCGAACATGTTGCGTAACGGGTTGTTGTAGGCCAGGCAAGTCCAACGCGTCGATCACGGGATGATCTTTGGTCGATCTCATAGGCCTATGAGGAAATTATACGTGAAAAGCATGTAAATTCACTTGTAATATAATATGATTATATTCAGATTTTGAAAGGAAAATACGTATGAAAGTAGTCTGTACTTTCAGTGTTAAAAAAAAGTGACGCTCTCCCTTTAACAGGCCATGGAGGCCCATACGGTTGTGAGACGTTGAGGGTCCCGCACTATTTAGACAATCGGCTCAAAGATGGCCGTAAGTTTGTCAGCCTTACGCACCGGCCGCTCTTTACTCCCCAGGAAAATTATTTAATTAATTCCTGGTACTCATTTCTGTTAGAGGCTGAGTCGACCCCAGGGCTATATTGCGGCCGGAAGGATTAGGTCAATTGGAAAAAATCCAAACTTTCAATGTATGTTGCTTTTATAACAAACATCATGTGACGTGTTATTTTCACCAACATTTTTGCTTAGAGCGAGGTACGACCATAGGAGGGGGTGGTAGATCACTGGCAGTTTAGACACTAAAACGTCGATCATAATCTGTTTGAAGCTGGACATGCTTGTTGTAGGCTAACGGGCCAATAGAAAAGTATTAATTATGAATACGAAGGGCTCAGTAGCAGTTCCTGATATCGTGGAGTTTTGTGAAAGCAGCCGTATTTTCATATGACCATTTTAGTTTCTAGATTTCACGCAAATTACGTGTTGTCATGTGGTTCTTGGGCCGAATATTGAGGTCGAGAATGTTAATAGTTTTCGTCTTTACACCTGGAGAATATCGAATTTCGTTTTCAGATAATTCACGATCGCAGTCAGCACTTTCGTTACTAATTCATCATAAGCGTATGCGATATAAATTAAATTGAGAAGAGTCTCCGCGGCCATCTTTATGCTCAGATAGTCAAACTAGAATGAAAATTACTAGTCACACATCAATTATGCAAATGCAATTAAGCGTTTTCGTCTACAGAAACGTATGTTGTTCAGTGGATATTCTTGCCTGTGAGGCGTCTTCCACGGTGTTTGGCC